ATGAGCTTCCTCCGTAGGGTGGCCGGGCTCAGCCTTAGAGATAGGGTAAGGAGCTCGGTCATCAGGAGGGAGCTTGGAGTCGAGCCGCTACTCCTTTGCGTCGAAAGGAGTCAGCTGAGGTGGTTCGGGCATCTAATTAGGATGCCTCCTGGACGCCTCCCACTGGAGGTTTTCCAGGCACGTCCAACTGGGAAGAGACCCCGGGGAAGACCCAGAACACGCTGGAGGGATTACATCTCCCAGCTGGCCTGGGAACGCCTCGGGATCCCCCAGAATGACCTGGAACATGTTGCCGGTGAGAGGGAAGTCTGGGTCAGCCGGCTTAGCCTGTTGCCACCGTGACCCGACCCCGGATAAGTGGAGGAAAATGGATGGATGGATGGTTTCACAATTTATAATCTATAAAATATGCTCATTGTTCTTCTGATGTCTCTCTGCAGTCTCCATGCTCCACTTACATTAACTACCCACTGCCCAGTTTAATACATATGAGGTAAATACAAATAATAATATCAGAACATGTCCATATCCATAACCTTTGTTTACACAACAGGCCAGAGATAATGCACAAACACATGACATGTTCCCCATCACAAGTATTCTTCTCACTGCTCAGACTGAAGACAACAGCTGACTGTGTGTGCATCTCTGGATGGTGAACATCATCATCTCTATTGTCTACAGTCAAAGAGTTACATTGTAATTGTGATTCCATTGTCCTTTTAATTTAATTTACATTTCATTCCATCATACATTCTATAGTCAGCTTTCAATGTATACACTGTCCGCCATCATTATGTTGTTGTTCTTTGTTTCTTTCATTGACACACTACAGAGCTCCAGAACACTCCATGTTAATCATCTCAAGGTATTAATATGCTGTCATATTGTGCTGATTGCCAGCAGGCCAGCTGACCTTATTGGCCTCTGTAAGTATGTCAGTGGTAGAGTTGAGTATGTCGGTGGTAGAGTTGAGTATGTCGGTGGTAGAGTTGATTATGTCGGTGGTTGAGTTGATTATGTCGGCGGCAGAGTTGAGTATGTCAGTGGTAGAGTTGACATACTAATGAGGAGAACAGGAGAACACGATAGATCAACGTTTAGTCCATTCCTGTGACTTGTGCTTCTGTGTAACTAGCTCCTCTGATCCTACACGAGACCTCATGCTCTTATTCTGTATACTTCTTTTTTCTGATGTTTGACCTTTTTCTACTAGTTTTGATATATATGTTATTATAAATGTATCATTTATGTTTATGTACCTTATGGAAATATCTACTATATTGTACTCTTGACATCTTCTGTATCTTGTAATATATTGATCTATATTGTAATATTATATGCGTCTGCCTATTACTGTTGACTTCTGTAGTGGAGTTTGATTCTTTGCTAATAACAGCTGCTGGAAATCAAGCCGTGAATCTGATGAAGCAACATGCAGAACTAGTTCTCTCCGTCTTGTTCTGAATGAGATGTCTGTACTCGTATCCTGTGTGTGCTGCACTTTGATTTATTGTGTCTGACTGTGGTTCACTGTGCACTCAGGAGAGAAGAGAAGGACTGATCTCACTCACTGGGATGAACTCTCTGAGAGGAAACATCTGAATGAATATCAGAGACAGACTGTAAACAGTGTTATCTACAGAGACATGGTCCTTTCTGATCCTCCTCAGGTCTTCTGGAGAGTCATGACATCTCAGGAGGAGGCGTCTTCCTTCAGGAGCTTTTGTCAATATGTGGAGGAGAGCGGCCTTCGAACGTACGACGGTCTGGTGATCCAAAACGCCTCGGACATTGCCAGAGAGAGCGACCGCATCCGCAACCAGAACAACTGGACCTACCTGCAGGAAAAACACCAGAAGAAGAGACGACAGGAAGAGGCCATCAAGAGGTAGAGCACAAAAACAGATAAAAGCTTAAAAACGTGACCACTGCTGAATGTAGATGTACACACACACACACACACACACCACACACACACACACCACACCACACACACACACACCACACCACACACACCACACACACCACACACACACACACACACACACACACACCACACAACACACACACCACACCACACACACCACACACACACCACACACACACATACTTTTTACATTATCCTCATTTACATTCAGTCACTTGAGTTTGATCGCATATGAGTTACATCATTTAAATTTCCCCCGAAACATCTAACCTAATAAATACTTTCCAGTGTTCAAAACACACTCTGACCATATTCTGGGTTATTAAATAATGATTTTACAATCACAATATCTATAAATATGGACACAAATAATGAATAAATACTATAAACATATTCTGCCTGTAGAAATCGATCCTGTAGCCTCTAAGCAGAATTCTGAACACAGTATAAATACCACAGACTAAATACATGCAGAAGAGTCCAAAAACTGTTAGAGAGATAAACAAAATTGAAGTTGAAGATGTTGAATTAAAAATGTGGATCTCAATAGTGTGAATGCTGCTGAATCAGCATTCACCATAATGTACCATGCAGTGGAAGTGTAGCAAACCACAGTTGATAACACCATCGTGATAGTTGATTCTTGACTTGTCTCACTGGAGTTTTAGACTTTGTCGAGCCAGCTGATGGAAAGTAAGCATGTCTCTTTGTCCAACTTTCTTTGTAAAGAAAACTTCCAGTTCATGTTGTCTGTCGTAGGAACAAACAGGAAGATACTGAAGTCACTACGAGAGAAAAATACATTTAAACATGGCTGAAAACAACTGCTTCCTGTGACTGTTCAGATTCTGATTAAAATGTGTTTATTCATGAAGAATGAATTCAGTACAGTAATTTCAAATAACAGTGGTATTGTGGTGAGTTGTTAATCAGATTAGTTTTGGTTCGTGACACTCGGGTGTTGTGTGATTGGTTGATGATCTACAACTTTGTCTTTCCACTGGTCCATCCAGGATTGGTGAAGATGTAGCCATGGCAACAGACGGGGCATACTCTGGAAAACATTTCAGGATGGGTTTCATGACGATGCCGGCACCACAGGACCGTCTGCCGCCACCAAGTCAGGGCTTCACTGTCCGATCCCAGTCCCTCCACTCGGTGGGTGGAGAAGACGACTCCAATCCAAACCGTAAAAGACCTCCGCCCAAACCCAAGAGAGACCCCAACACCAAACTGAGCAGCAGTTCTGAGATGGTGAATGGAGGCTCCGGAGTCACCAAGAAAGATACTCAAGAGACCAAAGAGACTTCGGAGCAGGCTGAAGGTGAGAAACGAACACCCGACGACACCTTTTGGCTAAACATGACATCTGTTGGTTAACACATGACACCTGTTGGCTAAACATGACATCTGTTGGCTAAACATGACATCTGTTGGTTAAACATGACAGCTGTTGGCTAAACATGACACCTGTTGGCTAAACATGACACCTGTTGGCTAAACATGACGCCTGTTGGCTAAACATAACGCCTGTTGGCTAAACATGACATCTGTTGGTTAAACATGACATCTGTTGGTTAAACATGACACCTGTTGGCTAAACATAACGCCTGTTGTTTAACACATGACACCTGTTGTTTAACACATGACACCTGTTGGCTAAACATGACATCTGTTGGTTAAACATGACACCTGTTGGTTAACACATGACACCTGTTGGTTAACACATGACACCTGTTGGTTAAACATGACATCTGTTGGTTAAACATGACATCTGTTGGTTAAACATGACAGCTGTTGGTTAAACATGACAGCTGTTGGCTAAACATAACGCCTGTTGTTTAACACATGACACCTGTTGGTTAAACATGACACCTGTTGTTTAAACATGACACCTGATGTTTAAACATGACACCTGTTGGTTAACACATGACACCTGTTGGTTAAACATGACACCTGTCGGTTAAACATGACACCTGTCGGTTAAACATGACACCTGTCTGTTAAACATGACACCTGTCGGCTAAACACGACACCTGTCGGTTAAACATGACACCTGTCGGCTAAACATGACACCTGTCGGCTAAACATGACACTTGTCGTTTAAACATGACACCTGTTGGCTAAACATGACACCTGTTGGCTAAACATGACACCTGTTGGTTAAACATGACACCTGTTGGTTAAACATGACACCTGTTGGCTAACACATGACACCTGTTGGTTAACACATGACACCTGTTGGTTAAACATGACAGCTGTCGGTTAAACATGACACCTGTTGGTTAAACATGACAGCTGTCGGTTAAACATGACACCTGTCGGTTAAACATGACACCTGTCGGTTAAACATGACACCTGTTGTTTAACACATGACACCTGTTGTTTAACACATGACACCTGTTGGCTAAACATAACGCCTGTTGGTTAACACATGACACCTGTTGGTTAACACATGACACCTGT